TCCTTGTACTTTAACCCCAGCCCTCACATTTGTTATTTTAAAGATCAGTACAAGAAATAAAATTTGGTGAGGTGGGTAGATGTTTTCCATTCATCTATATCAAGCTTAACATGCATTTTTCAGCAAAATATATTCCCCAGTGTGCTAAGGATGTATATGTAGGATTATAGTTTGGGAACTCTTTTTTAGTTCTAAAGATTCTATATACAGAGCTCTCCGTTTAGAAATCCTGAGATATTTATGCCAGGCGAAGCCGTGGTAGTGATCCATCTACACTGGACTCAGGCTTTCGGATCCAGTGGCTGTAATTTTAAAATTCAATTCTGCCACTTGGTAGATTTATGATCTCGAGTAAATAAATTTCTTAAACTCCCTCAATTTTATTTTCTATCTATGAAGTGAACATTGCTTAAAAATATTTTGTGGATTTGGGCAATTGCAGTTATTTAAGAAAAATATAGAAGACATAAAATTCTTTTAAAAATCAGAAAAAATAATATTCATAAATAATTTCCCCCAAAGCAGCTGGAAATACTTATTCTTTACTTTTCCTGCTTCTCTCTCCTACTATACTCCAAACAGATTTTTCTCAGTTCTGTAAATAAATTGCAGTCTTTCCTACCTCAGGGCTTTCTTGCTTGTTATTAATTTGGCCTAAAAGCAACCCCACATGTACACACTTACACATCTTTCTGTTTTGTTACTTTTCATCTTTTCACATAGTAGATTCTCTGTATCATTCTCAACTATAGAACACAACCTGTATTTTACAGCATTTCAACTTATGTATATTTATTTGTGTGTATATATACTTATCACATACAATATATCTACATGTATGCAAATGGCTATGAAAATGCATATGCAGATGTCTGTCTGCCAGGATATAGGGCCCATGCTGGCAAAAACTGCACATCTGCCTAGCCCTCCGCTGAATTCCCAATGTCAGCAGAGCACCTGCAGAAATCTGGTGCCCAAGTGATATCTGGTGAGTGAGTAAGTGTACACACTCATGAGTCAAGTGACAGAGAACAGTGACAGCACTGTCACGCCTAGTTCCATCAGTCTCATATCATAGTAGTTTATAAGAAATATTCACTAATAATTCATTTTCACACAGAGGATCATTGAAGCCTCTTGTGTCTAAATATTATGAGAAAGGGCAATGTAGAATTTGCTGCGTTTTGAAGCTACCTGATGGAATCATGGATTGAGGTGAATTGTATGGTTATAGAGAACCTGTTAACAACTGTTTCTCAGGGTCCAGAAGATTTCACTCTAAGCCCAATGTCCGTTGCTGTCCCCTGTTGCTCTCACCTCCTCCCCAAGAATATTTATTCTTTGAAACAGATGTTCTGCTGGAGTAAAAGGCCATTCTCAACTCGGGTGAGAAACAGGAACGTGGCCACTTAATATTCTATGCCAGTGTCTCCTAAAGAAAAGGAGATGTCAGGCCATATTACAAATAATTCATTGGCATAAAAACTTATAAAACTTACCAGAACAGCCTTGTGTTAGGTGTCCCTTGGAGGTGGTGTAGAGAACACTAGTTGCTTGTCCACTAGAAGGAATTGTGTGATATTTTTAAAGTTCACAGTACCTTGGACAGTTCCTTTTCAAACTAGGTGTTTCCTTATAGCAGAGTATTACTCCATTGTATAAAAATACCATATCTTTACCCATTCACCCCTTGATTGGCGTTTGGACTGTTTCCAATACTTAGCTGTTACAAATTGTGCTGCTATACATGGGTGTGCATATATCACAATAGTATGATGCTTTCCATTCTTTTGGAAAGATACCCAGCAGGGGAATAGCTGGATCAAATGGGACCTCTAGTCCTAGTTTTTTGATGAATCTCCACACTGATTTTCACAGTGATTGCACCAGTCTGCACTCCCACCAGCAGTGGAGCAGGGTTCCTCTTCCCCCACAACCACCCCCCTCAGCATTTGTTATTGGTTGATTTCTGGATAGCAACCACTCTTTCTGGGGTGAGGTGGAATCTCAGTGTTGTTTTCATTTGCATCTCTTGACTGACCAGTGATGTTGAACATTTTTTCAACCATTGGTACTTCTCAATCTGAGAAGTGTCTGTTCATTAGCCTTCTCCTCTTTCACCCCCACATTTGAAATTCACTTTAATGTAGAGAATTGGCAAGTCATGTGCATGAGCAGTGAGGGATAGACTGGGGTCCCTGTGGCTGTGTGATTCGGTTTGTGCTTTATCCGCTATCGACAGGCATTTTCTGAGTGTTTTCTGTCAAATTTCAACGTGAGTTTTGAGGTGAATAGATCATGTCTTAGGAATTTTCAAATTAATCTGTGGATGCACCATGATTGGGTGACTTTAGGTGAGAAAGTGTGTGACAATATAAACTGTCTTTGTGATCCCTTTGATTTAGGGCATGTGATTTTTCCTCTCCAGTTCTTGTAAATAGAAATCACAATATTTGCATCTTTATTATTGTAAAATGAATGAAAAAGACACTGTAGGTAGAGTACCTATAAATCAATAAGCAAAAGTCTACCAACATATATAAAGCTATTTACTTGATGCTGTGGTTCATGCTGTAATCCCAGGGGTCTGGGAGGCTGAGACAAGAGGATTGTAAGTTCAAGCCAAGCCTGGGCAAAATAAAGATCTAGCAGGACTGTCTCAAAATAAAGATTTTTAAAAGGCCTGGGAATGTAGCTTATTGTAAAAGCCCTGAATTCAATCCCTAGTACCAGAATAAAAATAGTCACTTAAACATTATAATTGGTAGGAAATACATGCTCAACCTGTGAAATAAAAATTAAAACAATGAGGGTTTTTCTTTTTTGCTTTTGTTTGTTAACTTGTTATTTTGTCCAAAATTAGAACAGCTGATTCTCTGCAGGATTGGCCAAGGCATATGGAGTTGGATGCCATTCTGTAGTATTCTTGGAAGTGTGAAAGATAAAAGCTTTGGGAAGGACAGCAGAGCAGTTTCTACTCAAATAATAAATATTCCTGTCTTCCCATCTAGAGGTTCTACATCTAAGTATTTTCTACTGGAGAAATACTCAGTGTGTGTGTGTGGGTGGAGGGGGGAGACATATATAGGAATAGTCCAAAAATATCCCTTTCAAACAGAATTATTAAAAATATGTAAATATCCATTGTCAGTGGAATGTTCAAATAAGTTATGGTTTACCCATACTCTGGGATACTTTGTAGTAGTTTAAAACTTTGGAGATTGATCTACATGGATTAAAATGGAAAAATATCCGAGGCATATTAGGTAACTAAGTATGAAATGTGAAACATTACATACTCCTATGAGTGTCAAAAAGCTATTTTAGGTACATGCTTATACATATAAACACACAGACAATATGAATAAATCAATGTATGAAGCACAGGGCCTGATGTGTGATGGGCACTGGATCATAAAGAGTCTCTTGCCCCAACTGCTATGAGGTCTAGATGGGGTCCAGGTATAGCCAGAACTAGAGCACTGAAGTGAGAAGATTTAACATTTGGTCTTGTTTTATTTTCATCCATGGGGCACACAGCATAAATACCCAGCTGCTTAATTCAAGTGTCAATCGGAAACTTTGTAGAAGTGATTCAGGATCCCTGCAGGTAAAGGGAAGTGGGGAAAGGTGGTACAGGAATCATTGTCCTGCAAAGCACTTCCTAGCTCTGGCTTCACATCGGTGCCGTGGCTCCCTTGGTTGGCAGATGGAGCTATCAGTCGTGCTGAGGAAATTAGGTGAATGAAGGGCTTGAGATTCCCAAGCAAACCCTTACTTCACAGGTGCTTTCGAGACACCACCTAGGCACCGGGCACTGACAGGGCAGACCGAGCCAATACAATGCAGTACACAGAAAAGCCCCGCACACTCCTGGAGCATGCCCCGGGCAGGTGTGCAGATTGTAACAACTGAACAGGTAAACGTAGGTGAGGATGACGGTCCTGTCGGGCAGAATAACCACAGAGATGTGACCTAGCAGCTGCGTGTGCTGCAGATAATGAGAAATAACGGAGAAGTGGTCATGGAACGCAAGAGCAGCAGGGAGAGAAGGAAGTGCAGTGACAGGAAGTGGCAGGTGATTTTGTCTGAGAGAGGAGCAATGAAAAAGAATGAAGCGGAAGGGTCAGGAAGAAGAGTCTAAGTTGAGGGGCATGGAGAAGGTAACAGGGGTTCCACAGCAGAGAGCTCCACAGCAGCGGCCCCTGGGCAGGAGAAGTGGAGCCTGCCAGCTTCAGGTGGGATCGTGCACATCGATCCATCATCCGCAGAGGAAGCTGAGCATTGTAGGCGCGGTGGCCAATTTGAACATGTTTGCTATGCACTTCCAGGGAAGGGGGGGGCGCTGCTGAGGGAGCACCAGTGTTTGGGCCTTCGGGAATTAGAGTTCCAGGGGGCAGGGCTGACCTGGGATTGAAGCAGTTTTTGCCCTGTGCCTCTAGATTCCTCTCTAGGAAATATGTGTGCATCTGAGGAACTCCAGGAAAAGGCCTCTGCTTAATAATAGCAATTTGGATGCATTAGGTTTTATTTATTTGCTGCTTTAAAATCCAAATCATTAGGTTTATCCAGAAACAATCCAAATCATTCCTGTCATAAATCCCCAAATATCTATTCAGGTTTTACCTCCAATGAACCTTTTCAAAATTGGTCGATGCTCAAACTGGAAAAGAAGGTGTTTGTTTCTCAGAACTGTCTGAGGGAAACCTCACTTTCCCAGACAAAACAGAAAACCAATCCAGGCTGGGCGTGGTGGCACATGCCTGTAATCTCAGCACTTGGGAGGCTGAGGCAGGAGGATCACCGTGAGTTTGAGGCTAGCCTGGGCTACAAAGCGAGACCCTGACTCAAAACAAAACAAAAACAACCAATCCAGTTCTAAAACATAGGTGAAACTTTTTAAAAGTACATTCCCAGAGGAGCCATCAAAGGAATGAAATTGTTGCTTGACCTCTGCTAATTGTATCTGATTGCTAAAGCTCGCTGTTTGGGATTTGCAGGAATGAACATAAGCAAAAGCGAAATAACAAAAGAAACTCCACTGAAACCGTCTCGGAGATCCCTGCCTTGCCTAACCCAGAGCTGCGCTCCTTCCTACAGCTTGAGCCAGTCTACCTCCCTCTTGCAGTCAGCCGAGAGTGAGTCGCAGGCTCCCACTTTGGCCAGCTTAATCTCTGCCGACAAAACAGAGCAAGGTGAGCAATGATTCTGATTTTTCTCGTTCACCGTATGAAGTGTGTTTTCATCACAGCTCTCTCCCTTCCTTTTTTCCATTTGACTGGTGTTGATGGAACTGTCCGGGAAGGAGGCTGGGGAAGCAGGCCAGTGCCCTGGACCTTCAGACTGGAATCCACTTGTGGCCGGCCGGATGTGCTTCTCCTCTCCTTGCCTTGCAGGTGGCCCATACCCTGAGCGCCTGCACCTGATGCTGACTCTTGGCGGCCTAAGCCAGACAGGCCTCGTGAGTCATCTGTTCAGGCCACTGTCTCCATTGCTGTGGTTAGGAAAAGCCACTTCTGCTGAGAGCTTACAACAGGTGTTCACAGGGAATATGTCAGCAATAAAAAAATTCAGCTCCCTCAAAAGAAAACCTGGAAATTAAAATTTGCACTGAATATACAGCAGTGAAGATTTGTCTGCATGCACATGAACTGATGTTGACATCACAGTGTTGTGGTAGGGCTAAAATTTGGGGACACATCAGCTAAACGCTACATTAAAAAAAAAAAAAAAAAAAAAAACTCTGGACATACCTGAGGCAAACTGCTACAAGCGCCTGCTACTCAGACAAACCATTAAGCCCCAGACAACTTAAAATCAAAAGTCACATATGACCATGGTCACTGTCATTTAGTAGTAGGATGTGGTTTTATTTCCCCTTTCTCTTCAAGCTTTTTTCCTATATGAACATATTACCCTGTGAATCCTTTGGGCTTCTTCCACTGGTGAACTTGAAAATACTAACATTGTCTTTTGGATAATATGGCAAAATCACTATATATTTTAGTTAGTTTATAGCCATGCTCAGTGAGGAAGGCACTAAATGTTCAACAAGATAAAGAAATTAAAGCGTAGCATTTCCCTTATTGAGAGTAAATTTTAAATAGCTAATTTCAACTCATTCATTAAAATATTTATTCATATTTGGTCACCATATAAACATTAAAGGCCAAGGTAATTTTTATTCTTGTGCTTTAGTTTCCCAAAACTACAAATTTTTTTTTTTTCAGTTAACCCCGAGGAAAATAACAAAACCTCTCTACTGAAATGTTCCTTTGCTGATCTCAGTGATTTCTGTGTGGGTAAGTTGGTTTTCAATATTTTCCTTTTCCTTTCCCTCTCTGCAAAGGTAAGCTGTGTTCTCCAAACCTAGAACTTTATTTTTTTAAGAAAACAAATCACGCTTAATGGTTAACATTTCCTGGGTGATTATAATATTCTGAGTTTATAATTATTAAAATGTTTATTGCTCGTTTTGAAATTCAAATAATACAAGAGGATTTGTAATGAACAACAGTATCATAACAAAACAACAACTTAGACAGAAACAGCAGAAGACCAAAAAAGCAGGATCAAGGAGTCCATGCCAGTCAGAGGTCAAAGCCTGGAAGCTGTATGGAGACTCATCAGTGCAAACATGCAGTGGAAGCTGAAAAAACTGGAGACTTGGAGACCAATATCCAAAGATGCATGCACTAAGAAGACTGGTGCTTTTCAAAGTGGGCGCACTTCCTGCTTCTGCCCCTTTTTATACCTCCCAGACTACAAGCCTATTGGTTGTTGCCACCCATAACTAGGGCCATTCTTCCCCTCCCAGTTTGCTGATCTGTACATCAATCATCCACAGACACACCCAGAACTCTGCATTTCTTACTGTAGTCAAGATGATGCATCACAGTTAGTGGTGACAAACATAAAGTCAGAATGAATCAAAAAGTAATACTAATTTGCTCAAACATTTATTTTCTAAATCCAGAGTGGATTTATTTACAACCATCAGAAATTAAGCCCTAAATTCTCAGTACTGAAACATTATTGTTCTGCCTACCTTGCTCGTGTCAGATGTTCTCAGCCCTGGCTGCCCAGTCACACCCTCAGGAGCTCTCAAATCTTCCTGTTGACACCCACAGGGTCAATGCTAATTTGTCTGTGGAATGGATGAAGCATTTTTACTCTTTACTGTTCACCAGATAAATACCAGACATCCCAGGATTAAGAATCTCTAGCCTAAACCTTACATCATGTTCTTTTTCTGAATACATTATTATTAAGATATTTTAATTGTTTTTAAAGCTATAAGTTGTGTTATTTATAACAACATTCTCAATGACTACAAATTAGTCATGTATCATATAATCCTCTCTCTCTCTCTCTCTCCCTCTCCTCTGGCATAAAAACAACGTGGCTTAGTAAGTTTTCTGATTAAAGCATCTAAAATGTTCATTTCATACACAGCATCAAAAGAACATTTTACCTGAACAATTATATTATATCAGAGTGCAAAGATCTGATAAGAAAACGAAATCGAACTACCTGAAGTTTTATTTGTCCAATGTACATACACACGGAAAAGTTTCCATGGTCTGTTTCACTAACCATTCTTGAACACTAGAATCAGATAATAACTAACAATTGCTGTAGTTATAGATATAACCCTTTTATTTCAATTGCATGAATCATATCTGTGAGCATTTGTATTTTCAAACATTAAAGGCATTTTTTTCTAAATGTTTAGCATAATCAAATGCCCTAACTCCACACTTCTTTTTTCATCATTTCGATGTGTCTCAATGATTTGGCCTCATGATGCATGTTTACATCTCCCCAAGTGTTGTACATTATACTCAGTATTTTACTTTCCCCCATCATTGGTCTAATATTGAAAGATTTTATAGCTCCTCAAGAGATTAAAACACATGTGAGTGATGAGGTGCTGGTCTTTCTAATTAAGGTGAGGATGGCCATAGTAGCATTTAGCATCCCCAGGAGCCCACCTACGTCTAACACTTGGCTGAGATATACATTTTTGAGATAGCCTCATACTCATAATATGAGTACTTTCATCATCTTTCAGAAGAGGAGAAACAAAATGATATCAGTTATAACAAGGTGATAATTAAATAATTTATGCGCATTTTACCAATACATGTGCTCTTCTAAATGCAAAGCAATTATATTTATAATTCTATTTTCCTAAACAAAACATAATATCAGCTCTAACATCAGGTTAACATCAGGTATGGCACAGGAATTTCCAAGTACCAGTATCTGATTAATGGCTTTGCATTTTTACTGTGAGCTACTTTGAGCTGCCCCATGAGAATATTACTACTATGGCAACGCTAACTGCATGAAGTAGATATTGCGTTGAGGATTGATAGATTGCATCGTTCAAAATGAGAGCAAGGCCTATTCTATTGATTCAAAGCAGAAGTTTCACTAAGGCTGCCCAACAGAATGTGCATATGTCATGGATGAAATGCTGTTGTCCCAGCCAGCACAGTGGTCCAATCAGCATTCTTGCATCTAGAACCAGCTGTGTGACTGTGCCATGTTACTTAACCTCTCTGAGCTGCAGCAATCTCATTTTTAAATTAGAACCAACAATACATGCTTTTCAGGATTTCTGAATTAAAGGAAAAAGCATAACTTCATCACCACGCCAACTGCACCACAGAGATTCAACAAATATTCCTTCATTGTTTTATTATTTACTCATTCAGCTTGTATTTCACACCAGATTCTGCTGGGTCCAGTACTTTACTAAACTCTTTCTCATTGTACTTTACTGGGCTCTATCTAACGGAATCCTCATACCACTCCTTTAGGGGAGGTTCTATCACCAGGCTCTTTACAGATGAGGGAAGCTGATTCCTGCAGAGGTAAACTAACTTCCAAGTCGTACATAGCTGGCCAATGTGGAACACGGATTCCAGCCCTGAAGTCGCAGTCCCTGGCTTCCTGTCTTCGTCACCATGATGTGCACTGAGACCTCTGAGTGGAAAGTGGTTCCTGACACCCACATTCCTTTAGTGCTGTAAGACGTTGCTAAGCATCAGGCTTGGACCAAGAGATGGGGAAAAGTTGCTTGGTGAAATGACTGGCTAAAGAAGCTGATCGGATTGAGAGGTTTCGTTTTTTTAGTTCTGGTTTCATTTATTTTTTTCTTTATTTTTTTCTTTTTTCTTTTGGGTTGACATTTCATAGCTTTTAGTTCTACTTTCACAGAGCAGGTTACAAAGGTAGAGTGTTATTTCATCCTCCAACCTCTGCACTAGATACATATGTGTGTGCATACACACACACACACACACACACACATGCACAGAGAGTCCCATGAAGTCATTCTCCAAAGTGCCAGTCCAGGTGTGTTACAGCTTAGCTGCCCCACGAAAGCCTCTTAACTAGTAGGCGGGGCTTTTAGAGGTGGTGGGGTCCTGGGGCTGTGGTTCTCAGCAGTGGGTGAGTCCACAGAGGCGTTTAAACTAATGTGATGTTGGGAGGTGGAGCCTGGTAGGAGGAAGTGGTCACTGGGGCGTGGCCTGGAAGGGCCTCTCGCCCTCCTTTTCCTTTATCCTTCTCTGCTTCCTAGCTCTATGCCATGAACTCTTTCTCTTCCACCGTGCCCCTAGCCAGGCTGCCCTGCCTTGGAGCCAGCTGACAATGGACTGAAACTTCTACAAACTCCGAGCCAAATAAACCTCTCCACCTTTGACTTGTGGGTGTCAGGCATTGTGTCTCAGTGACAAGAAAGTAAGGCAATGTGACTGTCATTTAAAAACCCTTGTGCAACAATAACCTTACTTATTATTTCTGGAAATCTCATTATTGTTGTCCTCACTGTTTCTCTTCTCAGTATGTTATAAAATGAAAAGAACATAGAAATCCATATTACCAGCCCTGACTATATCCTTGATCGTATTACGCTAAAATTGCATCACTTAGAAATTAAATCTACAGTCTCATCAAGACTCGGATAATTTGAGACACAGCAACCAAACTGTACATTTATCTCATCTTATTGTGAAATCAGCACTTTGCTAAGTGACTCACTCTTGCAGGAAGTAGAATATTAAGGTGTTTGTTTGCTTTCTATCAGCGTGATATTTTAGCTGGCTGTAATGTACATGGTTCCTGTTTCTTTACACTGTCAGGGTCGAATGAGTACCTAGTGGTTTTGCTTTCATTTTGTACCATTAGATAATCTCCTCTGATTTCCATTATTTTTTCCATCAGCATTTCATACTGAGGTGATATGAGAAAGAACTCCCTACTAGATTGAAAGAGCATAATATTTCCCAGTCCTGACAACCTCTGGTCACTGAATCTTTTCAGCTACTTATTGAACACATCGAATAAGTGCTCTTGGCTCATTGTTCAAAGTGCATTTGGAACCCAACCAGGGCTCTCCACATCCTCAGCTCTGCCAGTTTCTCCTGGTGATGCAGTAGCTTAACTGTTCTCCTTCCCCAGCTACCTCTTCATAGTCTGTGTTCCACGCAGCAGCTACAGGAAGCTTTAACAAGGGTTAAATTCAACCTCATCGTTTCTCTGCTCCATCCTCTCCAGGGTTTCCCATTAGATTAAAGTACAGACTCCCCGTGGCCTCCGCAGGCCCTGCAGCATCTGGCCGATTTCCTGATGCTCCCTTTTCTTCACATCCCTGCAGCCCACCAAAACCTCTTGGGCATAATGAGCCTAAATTTATCCCTGCACTCAACACTAAAATAAACCAGATACAACCATCTTCACTTTATGTCCTCTGATATATAGTTTTTCTTTTTTACTGTACTCATTAGTATTTAAAATTATGTGGTTTATTTTGATTCTCTGCCTCTGTATTTCCAGAGAAAAGAGACGTCATCAATCTTATTGACACCTGTGGCCCCGGAACCAATAACAGTACCTGGCATGCAGTAGGGGCTTAATGAATATGTTTAGGATTAGAGACAGGACCAACAAATGGGTACATGCTAGAAGCTAGGGACACACACATCTCACTTTGGGGAGGCTGCTGTACAGTCCATCCACTGCTTTGCTCTCTGTATGTCCTTCATCACTGAGATTTCTCTCTTGTTAGAAATCAGTGTCTTGCTACTTTTTTCACTGGCTATGATCCTCAAATTTTTCCACTGGCTATGATCCTCTCGTTCATTTAAGATGTGTTGACAGGCCGTTATGCAGAGCACTTCAAAGTGAAAATATGTCATCACCCTTCTGAACTAATAGAATTGTTTGTCTAACCTTGTTTTTCACACAGTCCTCTCTGATGCTTAGTGATGTAGACATAGCTTTCTTTCTA